CCGTGTAGGTGTGGACATAGCGTAAGAGTTACTAGTGTATTTTATTACTACATGTAATTTATTGCAGTTTACTTTTATGTATTTAATTGTTTAATAAATGTTTGAGGTGTGAAATAAACGCGATGGAGTTCTGCACTTCTGCATAGGTTTTTTTTTTAAATTTGCAATTTATATTTGCATTTCAAGTTATGAAATATGATTCGTTAAACATGTTTGTGGTTACAGTAAAAAATATTAATTTTTTCTACAACATTTCTATAGACGTGAGGTTGTGCTGAAAAGAATGATATGAGCCCCTCTGGACCCCAAAGGGTTAAGCGTTTTTTCAAAGTAATGCAATAGTTACTTTTCCTAGTAATTAGTTACTTATATAATATTGTAACTCAGTTGCTATCTCAGTTACTTTTTTGAAGAAGTAACTATAACTAATTACTTTTTCAAAGTCACTTGCCCAACACTGCTTGTGAGGTGATGCTCAAGTGCAGTGTTCTCTTACAGGAAAAGCTAGCGAAACAGGCGCTGCAGCAGAAGCAACAGTGTTTTTCACTCTCTTTTTTCCACTTTGTTTACTGAAAGTGCTTTCTCTGTTACTAAACAAACAGATTGACTTGTCAGCTGTTGACTTTGTTGTCCTCAGTGTCTCTCTTGTCTGTGTCTTTCCTCTAGTTTGGCCGGACAGAAGTGATCGATAACACACTGAACCCTGACTTTGTCAGGAAGTTTGTCCTCGATTTCTTCTTTGAGGAAAAGCAGAACCTTCGCTTTGATGTGTAAGTAGAAATGTCTCTGTCTTTTCCTTCTACAATGCCACTGTCTGTTTTCCTTTGTTATCACAGGCACTGAATCAACCCTACTATTAGTTTGGCCTTCTGACTCATACCCACTAGATTTAGAAGCTCGCAGTCATTTAATGACTCATCAAATTGTTACGCGGCAGTGATTTGGCAGGGAAAAAAGTTTGACATGCCTTTGGGTGACAGCCTTCTTCACACTTTTGACAATTATTATTAAAAGTTTTATTATCACTGTCTGAGTATTAACAAACAGTTAATAAAATAAATAAATACGATAAGATAACTCTTTATTGTCATTGCACAGTCATACATAGTACAGTAGTACAATGAAACTGGAAAACTGTCCTACGTCGGCACTACATATAACACAACACGACACGATGTGACACATCACAACGCAACACAAACAACACAACACAGTATATTAACTTAGTAATAAAAAAGAAGAAGAAGTGTATTTGTATTGCACACTGTTATTATTGCACATTAATTATTATTGCACCTTGTTATAAATATAAATATTATTATTGTTATTGTTTTAAACATTGTTACCTCCCCCCTAAAAAAGTCCAGGGAGGTAGCCAGTCAGGTCAGCTATTTGCATTGATCAGGGCTATTGCCCTGTTGTAACAGCTGTGCTTGAGTCTATTTGTTCGGGACCTCAGCAGCCTGAACGTCCTGCCAGACAGCAGCAGCTTAATACATACATATAATTGCATGCTTTACATATACATATAGTGGATAATTATGTCCCTGATGTGTGATGTCTATGTTTACCATCTCAATTTATTATAACAGGCAGTTTTGCTATTGTATTTTGAGATTTTGGTTCATTTTAGAAATCACTTTTATAGTGACATATACAAAAATGAAAATACTCAAAGATTTTGTAGTGGTGTACAGCTGCTACAAATGTTGTTTTTACATTTACATGCTGTTCTGGGTAAAATCAGATCTCTACCTGGTGTATCAGGTGCATTTTGGATCTATCACTGTGGGTCAAATAGAGAACGGTGATTTATGGAATTGTTAAACTGTGAATCTGTACATGACATATCTGTATGCATTTCTTCCACTGAGGCAGGGTATAGGGTACTCTCAATACTGTCACAACAACTGTCTGTGTTCCCCTCACTTTTGCCGAGGTTCTCTTGGGGGAATCTTAAGCAGTATAATAGTAACAAAGCTGGTACTAATCCCAAAGTCAAGAAGAGAAGAGCTGCAGCCTAAGTTGATGATCTCAACCTTACAGAGCTATGAGATGTAAACATTGTTCAATGTAAACATTGGATACTATTACATAATATCCTGTTTTTCTCCACTATAATTAAGTCATGAAAGTCAAGTCATAATGTTTAAAAAGGACAACCAGTCTCTTGGGGCATCGAGCTTAGGTCCTCCGATCTCCATGTCAAAATAACCTTGGGCAAGATACTGACTGTCCCCAGTGCACTGGAGTGTGAATGTGTGCATAATAATTAGAAAGTGCTTAAGGACACAGAATAAAATGCTGTATGATTGCAAATAAAACTAAGATTAAGATTAATTTCATTTCATTTACTCAACTTGGACCTGCTACTCTTCTCTCTCGCTCTCTCTCTCTGCGTGTGACTAGTCGAATAGCTGACTAATTATCACTGTTATCAATAGTCTGTATCGGCCTTACTAGTAGTTTAGTCTAGTAAAATTTTAATTGATGCGTAATGCTGGTAACTTGAGTTCAAAATGCCTCAATGCCACCAGATGGTGCATCGTTGGTAAGAAATGCCATAAATGCATTAATCAAGGTTTCATCTGTTTGCTAAAACTATTGGACTGAGGTCACGGATACAAATGGCGGAAATTAGTTTTCTCTGAAAGGTGGAAGGATTATCCCTTAGGGATACAGCTCAGTCATTATCGACAGGCACGGAGTACAGGCATCCTCACTGGTGCATCAAACTCTTCATGCTTGAAACTTTCTTGGATGTCTGCTTCTGTAATGGTTACCAGAGCTTGTTCAGGGAGGTTGCTGTGGTCTGCTCTTGGATCCACTAGCCACTGAGCATTGTTGTTATGGGCTGCATCCTTCTCCCATATGCTCTTTCGATATTGCTCTGTCCCCAGGCTTGGAGGGGCTCTTGTCGTATTGTTCCCCTGTTGCTGAGTGTACACCTATCTGTCTGGTATACCTTTTCAGGTGGCTAGCTAAGGCTGTGAGTCTTTGGCAGTTTTCAAGGCCTCAGGTATGGCAGCTTGCTGTACCTCTTAGGGATCCCTGTCTTCATCACACCTTGGCTACCTTCCCTTCCTGTTGCCTTAATCTTGGCCTCTAGCCTCTTTCTCCAATTCTCCATGGCGGGTACTGCTCTTCGTGGCTGAAGTATCAATTCTTTTTCCATGTGGGCACATTCACGCTTTGGATATTCATTTGAACAATGAATTATTTTTCCTTTGTTTTTTAGCAGCATAGTACTTTTTCCAAATATTTTCAGGTAATTCAGGTCAAGGCTCCGCTACAGGCTGCGAAATTCCAAAGGTCATATAAGCTTGACGGCTCACTACAGTTTTTGTTTGCTATAAGAATAATTTAAGTTCAGCTTCAGCGTCATTTAAAAGCGACCTTCAACTGGGTGTATCTCCTTTTTGTTTTATTCAGAGTTCAAAATGTGTTCATTATATAAAGAACATTTAATTTTCTCTGTAGCACTTCATGGATTTCATAAGCAACACAATTTAGTTGTTTATACAAAGCATAAAGGTAAAAAACAATAACAGTGTTATCTTCATTTTAGATGCCAAAAAGTATTTGCGGCTCCCAGTGTTTTCTTTTCCATGGAAACTGGGTCCAAATGGCTCTTTGGGTGTTAAAGGTTGTTGACCCTGGTCTAGGCCATGTGTCTGTCATGTCTCTCGCTGCAGCATTTTGGATCAACTCACGGCTTTTCAGGGATATTTTTAGGACATCCTGATAATAATGAATTGTTGTAGCTCAGCCTAGAAGTAATAAATACATGAACTTACTTTTCAGTATCACCCTGAGACAGGATGGTTGTAATTTTAGAGATGCTGTGCCAATGAAGGAAAGCAATCCTACCTATTTGTTTAATATTTGCATTGAAGGACATTTCAAAAATGGTCAAAAGTGACTTATATTGTTACTGGAGGTCAAGAAAATGCAATCCAGCATAAGCATCTGGTTAGACACAAGATCTTTAGAAATTTGTTGTAATTAGATGCTAACCTCAGCTTATCTGAATTTAGAAGCAGAAAATTAGGCCAACTAGACTTTATGTCTTTGAAACATTTGAGACATTACTGCTGTTTAACTAATTGGTTTGTGTTGTTTGGCTTTATGTATATAAAAAGCTGGGTATCATCTGCAAAGCCGTGAAAATATATGATATTCCTTCTAATGGTACTCCTTCGGGCAGGGATCGTCAACCTTTAACATCAAACGTTGTTAAAGCTCCTCCTGCCAAGGGAGACAGATGGGCAGGTGGCAGGTGTAATTGGGAGATGACAAATCAATATATATAGTATATGTACTAATAGGCATGGTTAACCCTACTCTGTGGCTCATGGGCCACGGGTTGCTGACCTCTAGCCTTGGGAAAGGATGCATAATGTGAACATAATTGGTCCTAGCATAGAGCCTTGTGGAACTCCGTAATTCACCTCTGCGTGTGAAGAAGACTCCCCATTTACACGAACAAATTATAGTGTGTTAGAAATGATTCAAACTTTAATACCTACAGTATGCTCTAATCTCTGTAATATAATATTATGGTCAACAGTATCAAAAACTGCACAAATTACACATATACCTATTATAATCTTGCTAAATGAAGAAGGGAGACTCTGTATGAGTGTTTTGAGTGTAGACAGCATGTCAGGAGTGGCAGCACCAGGAGAGCAGCTCGTCAGTTACAGAAGTGTATGCCTCTTATCAGAGTAAATCAAAGAAAAATGCCAGGTGAAACCATGAGGTATGGTGTGAAAGGTGGCCTCTACTCAGCATCTTCACAAAAGCTTCCACGGAAAGCAGAATGCAGTCAAACAGAAGGTGACAGCCTCCTGGGAACAGAAAATTAATCAGAACCAGCAGATGGATACGCTGCTGTATCATCGTTCTGCCCTGGTGACAAAATGTGTCGCAACATACTCAGCAAAACTCACATTAATGGAACAAAAAATAAATAAATATCTGCAAAATATCTGAATAAATATTTATTTTAC